AGCAGGCTCATGTGCCGATCAGCTGAGGAATCTTTGCATGTTTGTATTTTTGTGTGGCATCAGGAAGAAAGAAAGCTACCTCCATTTTCTCTGAGCGGGAATGATTAAAAGCGATGGCTCAGAATCTTTCATATTCTGCTTTAACGTTTAGGGCCACTTCTGCTTCAGGTCTGTGATTCTTTCTGTGATTCCTGTTGCCTTTCTGTGTACTGCCTTTCTTCAGACACTGTTTGCCTGTCATTATAATTTGTGCCCCAAGCAATTAAACGTAGTTTTGCGACACGTGTGGAGCAGTGATGTTGTGAATAAGTTAGTGATTCAGTGGCTTGCTTTGCTGTGCAGAACTGCAGGAATCGAATCCAAGAGTGGCGTAAAATTTTTTGCTAACTGATAACGTCCTTAAGCAAGAAATTCCCGTCACTGTGCTTCTGCGCAACCTGCCAAAAAATTGGTAGCCAGGCGTTGACGTGTGAGAGTAAGATGGTAAGAACATCACAGTGTTCTGCCTTGGTTGTGCCAAACAGTGCGAAACGCACAGACATACTGCCTGTAGCGCCCACCGTATGGTTACAATTCTCTTCGATCCATTTGACTGAGAATTAGCATGAGATGCATACCGTTAACTCAGAGGATTAAAACAAATATGCTGGGTTATGTTTCTTAACAAACCGTTTTCGTTCATCGCTTATTTTAAGTACTTTCGACAGAGGCATTTGTTTTGAAATGTAACCTGCAGGATTCCAACTCAAGTTAAAGCGTTTCTACGTTTGCAAAAATGCAGCTGAGTCAGTCATTTAAATTTACATAAATGAATCCTAAGGCACACGACTAATGTTTTCGTTTGGATTACGAGTGGTTGTTGCTCTGTTCTGACTGCTTATTACATTCTTTCATGTCTGAAACGATGCCTTTCAGAACTATAAATGAGCTCAATCCAAGCAAAAGTGCAATAACAGATGCAGCAAATCGTTAAATTTCTACCTGTTGCAACATGTTATTCTCTCTGTCGATGACAGATTAAACGTAGTCCAGGTGCATATTATTTGCAGATCCCGTTATAGCTGTGCTTTTTTTCTAAAGTAAGCATAACTGAATTATCTGAATTATTCGTGCGAAAATTGTTTCGAAGGCAATAAATTGCTTATCGACAACCCTTGCACTTTATATGGTCGAACGTTTTGTTAGGTTTCTTGTCCGTAAAAACGAGTTTCCTTAAGTGTTGTTGATGAGCACTTCTGATCATATGTCTGACCTGTATAAGAAATGACGTTCCTTTCCAGGCATTAAATAGTGAATGCAGATTCCAATGCTTTATTAAAATTGGCCCGCTAGCGCGAAATACCATTTCTGCGAGATTGCTCGAGAAGCTGGCAGAGCCGAGTCCAATTT